AATTTAAAATCTAAATATAATATATTCTTGCCATTTGATAAATTCTAAACATGCCTTCTTATCTTTTCAGTATATTTGCTATGTTTTTCTTCAGTGATTAGATACATTCTTTTTCTATTAGTATAAGACTCCTTTCCTCCCTCCCTTCCTCTTTCTCTTCCTACTGCCTTTCCTTCCTTTCTTTCTGTTGTATTTTAAGAAATATTTTACATCAGTGTTTCAAAATAATATGTTTGTCTTGGTTACAAGAAAGTAATTTACTGAAGTGTATTTGTTCATTAATTGTCTCTTTCCATGCTTTACACTGTATATAATTTGAAGTAAAATGAACAAATTGAAAGATCTTTTTTTTTCCTACAAGGTGTAATGGGAAGTAGTCAAGGGACAGTGACCTTCTTGATTATTAAAAATCAAAGTTTTAATAAATGCTACCTTGATTTTTAGAAACTTATCCTATACATTTGTAGCAATACCATAATTTTTATGAAAAAATAGCCATTGGAATAATTTGAAATGAAGGATTAGGAATTAGAATTTGAGTTCCTTTAATGGCTATTCTAAAAGGTCTATTTAGGTATTTAGTTTATGCTACATACACTCCCTATTTGAAATAAGACCTGGAGTTCTGCTTTAAAAACACAATTATGGTCTGTTCCTAGCCAATTTTGTTCTATATTAACAGAACAAATGTGCTTTGAAGTACCACTACCTCATGTGGATATTGTGCTATGCCCTTTACTATTTATAAGAATTCAGCACAGGGTCCCTATTCATTTATGCTTATGAATAAATTCTATTTATAAGAATTCATTCCCTGGTTCCCCATTAGACACATTTTTGTTTGGAAAAAAATCCCCCAAATACCAATACCCAGGCTCCATCATAGACCATTTAATTTTGGGGTATGAGGCCTGGTCATGGGTATTTTTAAAAAGTGCTCCCATTGTTTCTACAGCCGGAGTTAGTAACAACCATATTATGTCAGAAAGCCTTTGTGTTATTCATCTTGACATTTATTTATCAATCTTTTATTTTATTTGGATTATTATATTCCTTTTCATATAAGGCAAAAATATAAATTTCTTTTAAATGACTTTATACTGTTTCACAATGAAATTGTGTTTCCATTGGAATCATTAGAGTGAACTATTTTTTTTCTTCTACCCCTTATAAGGTCCAAGAAACTGGAGACATCGTCATTTCAAATGCATATGTGGATCTTACTCCAACATCTGATATTTCAGCTAAGACACCCTCTAAAGTAGGTTGTAAAAACTGGTATCCAAGTCACTTCCTAATTTATGAATTTCAGTTAAGATCACTTTAAGAATTTTCAGGCTACTTTAGAAAATCAAGAGCTATGAAACAATTCTTAATTCTTAAAGTGAAGGACATTAATTCAAAACTGCTTGGAATAAACAGAATACTTTGGAAACTTACGAATTTTTTAAAAAATTTTTACAGGATACTGGGATATTTTGCAGAGAAAATAATTTTCTAGTTTTAGGGTAAATAAATCACTTGTTTAATGAGAAATCTTAAGCAAATAGTATTTTGAAGAAAAATAGACTAGAAAGTTAAATAATATCCTGGCTGGGCTCAGTGGCTCACGCCTGTAGCCCTAGCACTTCGGGAGGCTAACACAAGAAGATTGCTTAAGGCCAGGAGTTTGAGACCAGCCTAGGCAACATAGTGAGATCCTGTCTCTACAAAAAATAGAAAAATTAGCCAGGCATGGTGGTATGCCAGCTACCTAACAAGCTGAGGCAGGAGGATGGCTTGAGCCCAGGAGTCGGGTTGCGGTGAGCTATGATGACACCACTGCACTCTAGCTTGGGCAACAGAGTGAGACCCTGTCTCAAAAAAAAAATAAAATAAAATAAAAAGTTAAATATCCTATACCTTTTTCTTCTTTTTCTTGATTAAAAGATTTCTATAAAGCTTCATAAACAAATATAAATACAGTAGTATGTATTATTTATTAAAACATTTGTGCTCTTTATTAACATGCTCAGACTTTTGATAAAAGTGTTTATATTCTGTCTCTGAAATATTAACTTTGTAATGTTGAAGTTTTTATAACCACAATCTTTAATCGTCTGTGGTAAACTATATTATCACGTGACTGACTGAAAATTAAAACCCTTAAGCATAATGGAAGATCAAAAACTTAAGAAGTATTAGAGCTAGAAAGAAATTTAGACTTTGTATAAATTTTAGTCCCATTTTATAAATAAAAAAATGAGACCACAAAAGTTGATTGATTTTTCTGATGTCTTCCTGAACTTACCTATGGGATAAGTTGTCTACTTTACTTCTACATATTATTTACAATTTAGTTTACTTTGAAAATATTATTTCTGAATTCTGATAAAAGTCAAATCCTCTTATTAAGAGGACTGATATTCTGGAATAATGACATACATAAATATATGGAAAGCATGAAAGAAGCCTAGTATGAAAAAAACTAGCTTAACTACCCTATTGATATGCAGATTTTTTAAAAAACATCAATTTTGTTATACATATATTTTGTAATCATTTTTCCCCTTGAGTTATTTTTATAGAACTTTTAAAATTTTTCTCTTTTTCTAGGGTGGGGAGCTTCAGAGTACCCTTGTATTTGAGGAAATAGCTCGCCGCCTTAAGGATATTGGGCGTGAGGTGGTAAAGAAAGTAAATGCTGTATTTGAGTGGCACATCACTAAAGGTGGAAATATTGCAACTAAGTGGAGTAAGTCATATCCCTAATTGTATAATATTCTAAGGCAACTCTTAGTAAATAAAGTATCCTTGTTATATTAAAGACTCTCCCTTTTAAGGTAGGTAAATCTTACCTTCTTAGGTAAGGTTTTTCTATGGGAATGAACAGGTTTTGGGACACCAAAAGGCATGTTTTTTTGTTTTTTTTTAAAGGAGATCTAGGGAATCAATTAAAAATGAAAATATCTGTTTTAAGATTTTTATTGTAATATCTGAAATCAGTACTTTTAAACAGTCAGCCGTGTGCTTCTTTAGCTAATCTTCAACTTCTAAAAAATAAAACAAGTTCATTAGGTCAAAAGAAATATTTTTAAGTCATTATATTTGACAGTTATAAAGTTATTTTCTTCATACCCAAATAATAATTTGGATTATCTTAGTTATCAGTATAAAAGCATAATTATTTTCTTGACATATACAGATTGCAATCAAAGGTGCTTATTTATCTAGTCTAGGGAAGTTATTTATTAGAGTGCCATGTTAGCAAGCTGGCTAGGCACACAATATAAACCAGCTTACTGCAGGAAAAAAGCAGTCATATTTCCTTTCACTAATATCGAGGTCCAAAAGGACCCTGATACCATTTTATGAAGAAAAAGAAACTAGAGGATAACAAGAATAAAGGAAAAAAACCCTACCAGATCTTTTGCATCTGCTGGGTAACTCACATCCTTAATCATGGCACAAACTTTTATTTATAGAGTATTTCTTATTTATAGAATATTCTAACCTTACCTTTGTTTTAGAGAATTCTAACCTATAGAGTTATTGGAGAAATACAGTGTACCAGTGAAGATTTGCTGAAACTTTTTGATTTTTCATGCTTTTCTACCTGAAAGTCCCAAGGGATGAAATCCATTCACTTTTAGTCAAGTGGCTATGGTCCCCTGAATTTGCCTTTTAAATAGAAGACAAGAAGCATTCAGGTAGTTTTTAACTCAAAGGATTCTTCTCTTCCTTTATAATTGTGAGACATCATGTGATCCTCTGTAGTTTAGGTTGCCTAAGAGCCCCTTGAATGCTGTGGGGCTCCTGGAGGAGGCCTGCGATTGGCTTATACTGTAGAACTATCTAAACTTTTAGACACAGCTCAAGACTGATTGTAATCCTCTGGGGATAGTGGACTTGTATTCTATGTAGTATACTATGGCGATGCCTGAAAGCAGGGCCTGTAGGCTGCTTCTGAAAGCTTACAACAGATGGAATGAACCATCTTTTTCACTCAGTGTGTACTACATACCTTGCAGGTAATGTGTCTGCACAAAATTTTTTTAAGAAAAAAATGTATAGGTTTGGGTTTTTACTTGCGTAGCAGAAGCTAATATTTTACAGATTTCTGTTATTTTTATTACTTTAAGTGTACCTATTTAAGTGCCTTGGAAACCAGATTGTTTTGTTACATATTACAAACAAAAGAATCACTACATATGCTCACTTAAACTAAAAAGTTAAAATGTATCTAAATCAACTGAATCTTTCTGAAACAATCTTCTATTAGATATTCCTAGAAAATATTTTGGTTTTATTCAGGTGGTTTTAGTTCAATATAAGCAAGTTTCTTTTTTTTTTATTTTTTTTTTATTTCAGCATATTATGGGGGTACAGATGTTTAGGTTACGTATGTTGCCCTTGTCCCCACTTTCCCCCCAAGTCCGAGTTTCAAATATGTCCATCCTTCGGGTGGTGCGCATCGCACTCTTTGTGTATGCAAATACCCGTCCCCTCCCCCCTCCCCCCTGCCCAACATCCAATAGTTGTTATTCTTATATGTGCACTTAAAAAATATGGAACCCTTCACGAATTTGCGTGTCATCCTTGCGCAGGGGCCATGCTAATCTTCTCTGTATCATTCCAATTTTAGTATATGTGCTGCCGAAGCGAGCACAGCAAGTTTCTTTTTAATATAACATTTGTTGTTCCTTTTAGGTAGTGTATATTTAATATATAAAATTTGGTCTATAAAGTATACAGAAGAAAATAATGATGTCTAATCTCATTACCCACAGTTAATCTCTTGGTGTTTGTTCTTCTGGAAGACATTTTTGCTTATAGGAAGTTAATTCAGAAGGAGAATAAAGGAAGCAAAAAATGTAATATGTATTTATTCTCTGAAATTTTAAAGTGCCTAATTTTTAAAGAAATAACTTCATAGATTAACAATGTATATGTAGGTATCATCTCCTCCCTCCCTCCCTTCCTCCCTCCCTCTCTCCCTCTCTTCCTCTCTTCCTTCCTTCCTTTTTTCCTTGTATCTATCCATGATAGAATTCAACTTTTTCCCTATGGATGAAACTATGTGTATTAGAAATTGAGTTATAAAGCACAGACTTTTTGAGGATACTGGTTAAGGAGAGAAGTGAGATTTACAAGAATGAAAAAAGGCACTAGTAGAATAAAACTCTAAAGTATACAAGTGATTCACTCTAGGCAAATGGGATTTCCTTCAATATAGTGTCTATAACCAACTAAGATTTCCCCCTTATTTTGGTGGTACTTTCCTTGCAGACAATATTTGAAAATGTGCTTACATTTGAAAATTACCTTTAACCTAGGAAAAGGATTTACCCCTCCCCCTTCTGTTTCCATTGGAAAAATGGGTATATTGGAATCCTGTTAATTGCTACTTATTATTGATGCCTTGTGGCTTTTGTTTGTTTTCTCACCTTTTTTTTCATGTCCTTATTTATCAAAACTAACAATCAAATTGGATCTTAAGGCTTTCTCTGAAAGGATTCACCATTCCCTTTGGTTGTCTGCCCAGCTCTGTTATTGATTTGATTCTCAGCTGTGTAACTATTTTTATTTCTGGTTCTTGTTTTCTCCGTCTTTGTGTTACTGAGCTAAATCATAGTAGCTGGCAGCCATAGAAACTATCTATGACTTTTGACTTATGTTATCTTAGAAGATGATTGATGCCATGTTGGCATTTCTGTTTTGCATCATCGTGCTTAATGACATAAAATAAATGATTAAATACTTTGGCTTAGCGAATACCTAACTATTTTTTCACAAGCAGTTTTTCAAATGTTTTGCTAAACGCTTATGTACTCAATATTTTGTATTTTAAAGTGTTGTTAAGTTGTCCCAACCTTGTCACATCATGGCAGACTAGAACCTGGATATAGAGAAAGGCCTGAGCACCTCGGTTCACCGTGGCTGGGCTCAGGTATCACTGACATTGCTCAGGTGACTGACCTTGAGCAAGTCTGGGAACTGAGGGGTTTGGGCTCAGTAGCCTGGAAGGCACGTTCCAATCCAAAGATCCTGGCCCATGCCCATCTTCCTTATTCCTTCTCCCAGTCTGCCATGCACACAACAACAACAACAATGACAAAAACAACACATCTCTGGGTAGAGAGAGAGAGTGTGTATGTGGGGGCGTGTGTGTGTGTGTGTGTGTGTGTGTGTGTGTGTGTGTGTGTGTGTCTCTTTTCAAACTGAATTAGTCTGGGTCTAGAGAGAATTAGGAGGGTTCTGATGTCAGTGCCAGGTCAGTGTTGGTTTTAGCTGTGGAAGAGGAGGAGTAATCATAAATGTGTCTTTGAGATTGGTCCCCTCTGAGGCCTATCATGCATGGTGATCTAGGAGGAGGAGGGCTGCTTGGGTGAGGGACAGTGTGTCCTTGCTGGGCTGATTTGATCTGAGAGAGGCTCGAGAGCCCTTCCTTCCCTTTGTGTACCCAGAGTGTGGACCTGAGAGGTATAGCCTCCTGGTTTACATAGGAAGTCAGAGGGGGGGCCTCACTGAGGTGCTTTTACGAAGGAAGCCATTATCTTCTTGGAATACTCACTTGTACCTTCTGATTTCTGCCTCCGGGGACAGTGTTTTGATCATGAAGTATAATTTTAGAATTGATTAATAAAAGCATTATGACCCTTAGATAGTGCTTCCTTAAGTATGTAGCTAGAGGTCACAGTTAAGCCTATCTTTCTTATTTCATTCTTATTTCTAACACCTGTTCTTGCTATTATAACAGATATTAATAATGAAATTCTGTTGTCTATGTCTTTTTATTACTCTAAAGTGGCATTGAATGTCTGGACATATTTGAATACTTTTTTCCAATCTCCTATACCTTCAGGTGTTTTATTCTTTGGAATAAAGGTTATCCTTTGACTTTTTATTTTTCTAGGGTTTCTTTGATTAGTTTGAAAAGGTAGAAATGAATAGGAGGTGGAGAAATGTCTCTGAATTCCTTTTGAGCAGAGTCTGTTGCTTGTCATAGTCATCTTACTGTATTACGGTCATTTGTATACTAACTGTATGTTTTCTCTCACTTGGCCTTAGGCTTAACCTTGAGAAATTAAGACTTAACTTGCCTATTTCCAGCTTCTACTATGGTCTATAACACATATTAATCAGCCTGATTTACATGTTGAATAAGTGCTGAAAGCCATGTAGAAAGGATAGTTTTAGATGGAATAGTATGGATGCCTTTTTTAAAAAGTACTGTAATTGATGCCTTACCTTCTATTAAAACAATAGGTTTAGTTTTTGGATAGTGACATTTATTTTTTATTTAGTATGAGTGAAATATGCAGGAACAATGATACCATTGAAACATTTTATAATTAACCAACATATTTTACAGTATTTATTGCTATTAATTCCTAAAAACCAGCCAAAAGTTGTTCTAGTAAACCCTTTGGATCCTATTCTATTGTTCTAAACAACAGTAAAAATTCAGAGAAAATGAAAGATGACATAAAGGCATAAAGAAGATAAAGAATCAAAGGCTTTATGTGGCCTACAGAATAGTCTGCTCCTGAAAATTAAAACATGGTTACTCTTATCTGAAATTCCAGGAATCAAAAAGCTCTAAAAATAAAAAGTTTTTTTCTCATAACTCACTGGTGGCAATACCTGACCTGAACTTACATGATGCTATTAATTGTCTTTAACATACCTATTGTGAATTAGTCGAGTATAGAAGTAATATATTTGTTTATAGGGTGTCACACCACTGGTGATCTTTTCTAATACATCATACATATTTTATGTATCATATTTCCTTCCTGAAATCTGATTCCACACTCCAAAACACACCCAGCCTGAAGCACTTCATATGAGGAATTGTGTATCCATACATGTATATAAACAGTTGTTACAGAACACAAGTGATAAGAGACATGGAAAAGGTGCTCTTGGCTTTCAGAGAATGAGAGGATTGGTTCATGCAACAAATATTTGAGTATTTAATGAGGTACCAAGTTCTCTGCTAGGTTGGGGACTACAATATGAAGGTACAGTATGGCATATTTATCCATGGCCATAAAATTAGAAGCAGTATGTCAGGAAAGTTGAAATACTAAGATTGAGGAAACAAAGGTTGTTGCATTGCAGAATAAAAGGAAGACTTAAATTAAGGCAATTATAATAATGGAGAGGAGAGGGCCTACACAGAACACAAAATTGACAGACTTGGCTACTGATTAAGTCTGAAAAACAGGAGAAATGAGAAAGAGTCAAAACCCAAAACTAATGCTGAGGATTTGAGCTTGTGTGCTTGAGGATGTTGATTTTATTACTAGAAGTGCAAAACAGGGGAGAGGAAGGAGGTTTAGGAGAGAAGATGATGACCTGTGGTGCCAAAACTGTAGTTGACCGAGATCTCTGGACTAGATTGTAGAAACTGTGGGCTGGGACTTAGAGGTAAATTCACTGCTGGAGGCAAAGAATTGGAAACCATATTTGAGGAATTAGTAGGTGAAACTGAGAACATTAGCTTTGCCACCTTGCTTCATGGCATGCAGGAAGGAAATGGAAGGAGGATCTTTATTGGTCCTGGAGGATTATCTGTCTGCTGTTCCTGTTCACTTTATAGAATAATGGCTCTAGTATTTCCATTTGTCTATAAACAAAACGAACATTTTAGAATTTGGCCCACAGGTTTTAAATATGCAATTTATTATAAATCTAGGCACAAACACAATCCCATGCTTTCAAAATAGGATCTATTTGTTGTTCGAATGTATCTAATATCTATAACATAGCCATGCTACTAAAATTTTTACAAAGATTTATTTCCATGTGCTAAATGCAATATTGCTGAGCAAAAATCTGTTTTGTTTTCCTTAGGACGATAGGTTTAAGCTGGTTGACATTGAACAATTTGGTTGTTTTCCTACTAAATTTAAATTTGGTTTCCTTTCACATATTTGTAATCTTTTTCATTATAGGGATATAAGTGGAATTTACATTTATGTAGTAAGATTATACAAATACTATTTGTATTTTTTTGAATATTGTTAAGTAATAAAATCAGTTGGGTTTTAAAAAAATATATACCGTAATTAATTGTGTAGTGCTAAGTCTACATATCTGCACTAATTCCAGCGTCCATTATGTGCTATGTGACACATGCGACTGGATGGGGATGTTCTTTGAATGTTAGAGGTCATCTATTCTGAATCTTAGAAATTTGCCGCAATATGGAAGAATGTATGGAGATTTGGAAAATGGCATGTTTTTTCAGATCAGAATACATTAATTTGTGAAGATACCTTGTGATCATTGGAACCTTTGAACTCCGGGGTTGGTGCTCATCTTCTAGCAGGAAACCAGATTACCCTTTAGGCTTCTCTACTTGGATATAAGCTAAATCTTAAGGTTGTGGGTTCCAAATTTTGGATTGGGACCCAAATGACTATCTTATACATTTATGGAAGTCTTGAAAGATGACCTTTGAAAAGATATCTGTTCTCTAGTCAGGGATGGGGGCCTGTTTGTTGGAGAGGTGTCTGCTTCAGGGTCGCTCTCTATTCCTTAGCAGCAGTAACTGCTTTCCATCCTACCAGTGGTAGCTCCTCACTGCTTGGCTTGTGTGCATTTACTCTTCAAAAGTACACACAGAAGCACCTTTTAAAAATTGCTTAAAACAGTTGTGGGTTTCCATTTTCCAGGTGTGTTATTTACCTTAATAACATGTTTTTGTATTTTTTGTTTGAGATGATTTCAGACTAACAGAAAAATTTCAAAAATAGTACAGAGAACTTATGTCTGTCCTTCACCTAATTTCCCCAAATTGTTAAAATTTTTATCCCATTTTCTTTACTATTTTCATCATGCTGGTTTTTTTTTTTTGAAGCATTTGAGTAACTTGCAGACATGATGTTCCTTTGTCCCAAAAAGGCTACTTTGCTAGTATTTTCTAAGAACCAAGACATTCTCTTCATCTATTCCTAGAACAATTATCAATATCAGGAAACATTGATGCAGTACTATTATCTATCTATAGACCTTATTAATATTTCACTAATTATCCCAGTAATGTCCTTTATAGCAAAAGAGTAATAATGGTAACAGTAACAATAATAGAAATGAAGAAAGAAAAAGAACTGAGCGGGGTCCAATCTGAGATCATACATTGCATTTAATTGTTAGGTGTCTTTAGTGTGCTTTAATCTGCATGAGTTCTAAAATCTGTCTTTGTTTTTTGTGACCTTGACATATTTAAAGACTGTAGAGGCCAGCTATTTTGTAGAGTATTCCTCAGTTTGTATTTATTTGATTTTTTTTTTCGTGATTAGATTTAGTTTATGTATTTTTGGCAAGAATAGCACAGAAGTATTGTGTCCTTCTTGGTGTGATTTTTTTTTTCTTTTAAATCTAAGTTTTTCCTTTTTTGTTGATTTTATTATCATTATTATTATTACATTTTATTTTTTTGGTAAAGATCGTTCTTTTGTGTGATTTTCTAATCATCCATTTAACAAATAGTTCCTAAGTACTTTCTCTTCAAGGAAGTGTAGGGGATACAAAGATACGACATGTCTTTACCAGCAAAGACCTTCTAATCTTTTTTTTTCTTTTCTTTTTATTTCAGAATATTATGGGGGTACAAACATTTTGGTTACATGTTATGACTTTGCCTCACCCAAGCCAGGATTAGAGGTGTGCCCTTCCCCCATACAATGCTCATCGTCTAATCTTAAGAGAAAGGGGCATAAACAAAAATGGCTCCTTCTTTCTCCCATAGTAGCCCTTTGTGATTTGTAAGTTATACAGCCCAAGACCTTCACAGAGTCCCAAGTTTTCAAATGCCATACTCTCATCTATTACCTCACTCCTGCCCCATTAAATTCTGGGAAGTATAACAAGTTGTTATGAACTCTTTCAAAGGCCTCATGATTATATAAATACAGAGCTAAAATCATTAATAAAATATTTGATATTTAAAATACATTCTGCCACTAAAAGAAAATGAATACAATCTATTTCTTCATTTTTACAGTAAGATTAGCCATGAATTTATAAGTGATCTAAACTCAAGGTGATGGTGGTATTCTCCCATAGGAGACATATCGTAGACCATGACCTGAGCCACTACAGAATTGGAAGTTCCCCTCCTTTACCCCAAATTTCCTTATTCTTGTATTTCTGCATTTTGTATTTTTCTAAATGATGGATAAGGTATTAATCTTTAGATAGAATAATTACCACATCATATTGGAAATGATAAAAATGTCTGCATTTTGATTGGTTTATTTTACCCTTATATTGTGAGGAAAAAATGATATGCATTGGTTTTTTCCTATTTTTCCCAGCTGTTGACCTGAAAAATGATTCTGGAAAAGTGTACCAAGGTCCTGCAAAAGGCTCTGCAGATACAACCATCATACTTTCAGATGAAGATTTCATGGAGGTAGTCCTGGGCAAGCTCGACCCTCAGAAGGTAACATTCTTAAAACGTTCATTTTTTCATCATCATTGCTTCCTATTTGATAATTGCAGTTTTTGAGCTGATTCCTAAATTTTGATGTGTAAGACAGATTCCTTACAACTCTGAAAAAGACATAGTTGGTACCAATATTCTGGTTCACAAATCATATATTTTTTAAATGGAGTTTCAGCTGACACTTTTTAAAACTGAATTTTTGGGCAAAATTCTTCAGTGTACAGTAAAATAATATAAAGCCCACATCTAGGCTTCTTAATGTATTCTGTCATTTGTTCAAAGGCAAAAAACCATATGATATTAGTATATATTACATAACATTAGACATTCATTCCCACTTTGTCAGATTAAGAACTAACTCATTGAAAATTGAAATGGATATTTTATCATAGCAGCCAGAGTCTTACTTAAGACTAAACATTTAGAGGTATTTTAGGGGAAAATTACGATTAAGATAAGAATGCCTTCTCTGACCATTATTAGTTAATATTATTCTGAAACTTTCAACCAATCCACAAACACACAAAATTAATTGATGTTGCAATTTGAATGGAGAAGAAAAATTTGTTATTTTCAATTCATGATTATGTAGCTAGAAATCCCAAGAGAATCAACTGTATTTTAGAATGAAGGAATTCAAACAAGTGGTTGAATGCACAGATGTTTAAAAATAGCTTTTACAGGCCAGGCGCGGTGGCTCACGCCTGTAATCCTAGCACTCTGGGAGGCCGAGGCGGGTGCATTGTTTGAGCTCAGGAGTTCGAGACCAGCCTGAGCAAGAGCGAGACCTCGTTTCTACCAAAAATAGAAAGAAATTAATCGGACAACTAAAAATATGTAGAAAAAATTAGCCCGGCATAGTGGCGCATGCCTGTAGTCCCAGCTACTCGGGAGGCTGAGGCAG